GGTCAAAGTAAACTACTGGTTCGATAAATACCTAGTGTAGAGGGTGTAGAGTACATCTGGTTCTTGGGCCAAAACATGCAGATGTGTGAGATTTCCAACAGGTTGACCATCACAATATCCACCGCAATAACCATCACAATAACCATCACAATAACCATCACAATAACCATCACAATAACCATCACATTAACCATCACAATAAACACCAGAATAACCATCAAAATAAACATTTAAAAAACAATCACAGTAACCATCACAAAAACTACAAGAATAACCATCACAATAACCATTAAAAGCCATCATAAAAACCATCACAAAAAACATCACAAAAACCAACACAAAAAAAACCCAAAACAGCAATCTCTTCTGCTGTAGGTGGCTGCGTTATTATAAAAGTTTTGTTTTGATCCTGTTGTCAAGTTTTTGATTTCGACATTCCTGAAGTTGTTTTTTTTTATTTTCCATATTCGTCTCATAAAGATGAGTTTCAACACAACAATTGGTCATAATTTCCTGTTTCCGATCTCCTAATTGACCAATGTGCTTTCACTATATCGTCATTGATACCAAGATTGACCAATACACTCCTAGTCTGCCTTCGATTTACCATCCATACCGATGAAAGATAGACAAGCACCTCTTGCCTATAATTTCCACATATTAGTCGAACCATTTCACAAAATTACTTTTCTCTTAAGTCGGTATATAGATCTACATCTGCACTATACTGTTCACAACACATCAAACTGGAGAAACTGACAAAATTGGTAGTCGCTGAAAAACGGTTTGGACAAGTTTTTGAGGATATACCACAAACTTTCCACCCTTGTCCACAGTTGGGTCCTTTACTTACACTACCTGTCCTGTTGTCACTCAGGGGAGGGGCGGGGTAGAGACCAGTTGACCTTTGACACCATCATGGCGAGGTGTCATTAGATACCAGAAAAATCAAGTTTTTATTTATTTTATTTTTGTGAAAATAAATATGAGAACTTGAAGTTATTGGAGACTTGGGTGTGTGTTTAGACTTCGACAACTGGGACAAATTGAGCATATTTATAGGCTGATTTTTTAAACTCAACTGATCAATGATCACAATGTACCTGTGATTATATCTCCCCTCTTGTGATATGACCGTATATGTTCTACTTTAATTATTCATCAGATAACTTATAATTTCTATCATTTAAATTTTCTTTTAAAATTGTGTTGTAAATGTCATAATTTAAAATATTTGTGATTAGACTTGCACTATTTTTACATCAGTGATTGGGCCTGTATTCTTTTTCTCTTTGTTTCCTTGGCACCTATACTTATTCCACTTTTATATCATTGACTCACTGATTTCGTCCTGCATTTACACTGAGTGACTAAACATACCACCACATATCTTTACACCAAGTTATCCACATATCCTTACACCAAGTAATCACTCACACCAAATATCCTTACACCAAGTTAACCTCACACCAAATATCCTTACACCAAGTTAACCACACCACATATCCTTACACCAAGTAAACATCCACACCACATATCCTTACACCAAGTTAACCACACCACATATCCTTACACTAAGTAAACACTTACACCAAATATCCGTACACCAAGTTAACCTCAAACCACATATCCTTACACCAAGTAAACATCCACACCACATATCCTTACACCAAGTTAACCACACCACATATCCTTACACCAAGTAAACATCCACACCACATATCCTTACACCACATATCCTTACACCATATATCCTTACACCACATATCCTTACACCACATATCCTTACACCACATATCCTTGCACCACATATCCTTACACCACATATCCTTACACCACATATCCTTACACCACATATCCTTACACCACATATCCTTACACCACATATCATTACACCACATATCATTACACCACATATCCTCCCGCCGTGAAAGAAGCGTCATCGATCCAAACAGAAAACATCCGGTTTTTGAATTGTTTTGTTACAAAACACTTTCGATAGTAATTAAATGCATAAAATATTCCGTTTCCATGGTGACGATTCGGAATAGATTCTAAGGTAGGGAAAGTGGAAAGGATGGGGTGGGTAAGGGTGGGGGTGGGCGGCGGCAAGGAGGGGGTTAAGTGGGTTGGAAAAACTTGAAGAAATTCAGATCGTATTAAACAATTAGACAGATTTACCTGGGCAGGTTGTGTGCGACACAGTGTCGGGAGACTGCAAGGCTGAGCGTCTCCCCCCCCCCCTCCTACCCTCCCCCACCCTCGGGATAATTTCCCGCTTCTAATTAACGCGATTATCAATTGGAGCAATCGTCTCTTCGTCTTATGAACGCAGGTTTCGAAACATTTTTGTTTAAAGACATTAATAGCGCGCAGACGATACTTTAAAAGAAATCGTTGCTCGAGTGACGTCAGTGATGTCTAGTGACGTAATTATCATGTTTGTGATTTGATTTTTGCGTCATACAACTGATTAAACAGGGTCGTCAAATGTTACAATCTTTTCTTGCTAACTTTAGTAGAGTTTTTAATTGCAGGTAAAATAATTACAACCACAAAAATATTTAAACGGTAAAAACAGTTAAAAGATAAAAATGTCGACCTATTGCTTGTGTCCAAATAAACCATAATTGCTAATGACTTCTAAATTAAAGATTGATTAAAATACAAGGATAGTTTACAGCAACGAGAAATTTCATGAATTGATCTTGATAGTAAGCTTTGTGTTTTATATAAATTTACAATGCAATGTTCGTAATTTTCTCCACAACTGTTCAAATGAAAAGCTCAAAGACTGAGTAGTCTGTACTACAACTGGATGGATGGAAAAGCTGCGTTTAATTATTTTTTGATTGATACTTTATTTTATCCCTATCATGAACCTTAGTTGTATACGTAAATAAAATCTTATGTCGATGACAGTGTCACAGTGATTGTGTTCTAAGTTCTAAGTGCACATATTCATACACATATATGCATACACAGACACACATACTTTATATATATATATATATATATATATATATATATATATATATATATATATATATATATATATATATATAAGAGTAATGCAATAAATATGGGTGTGGAGTTAATTATCATGCCGTAGTTTTTATCGATTTAGAATAAAAGATATAACAATTATCAAATAATAGACTAATTACGTTTTCCTATCATGAATATTGATTAGAACTTGAAAACAATCATACTACTTAATGAACATTTCTAGAGCAGCTGTAGACCAACTGTACCTAGCCGTAGGCTAGCTGTACCTAGCCGTAGACCGGCTGTACCTAGCCGTAGACCAACTGTACCTAGCCGTAAACCAGCTGTACCTAGCCGTAGACCAGCTGTACCTAGCCGTAGACCAGCTGTACCTAGCTGTAGAGCGGCTGTACCTAGAATGTAGAGATGGTGGTGGTACAGGTGGTTCTTTCTTATATTTAATTTAGATTTATGAACGGGGGGGGGGAGGAGTAAATTAAACTTGACCTTGACCCTAAATGGACGGGACACAATTCTTTGGAGATGAGGGGGTGGGGGTGAAGTGTTTCTTAAAACTTGAAAACGTGGCCAAAACTTTTTAAAACAATTAACGGTCCGTGTTAAATTAAATTAGTCCGTTCGTCTCAGGTTTTTCCTAGCTGGAAATACGCCTGCTCCGGTCATTTCGTTTTTACTTGACGGTCATTTGTTGTCATTTCGTTTTTACTTGACGGTCATTTGTTGTCATTTCGTTTTTACTTGACGGTCATTTGTTGTCATTTTGTTGTTACTGGACGGTCAGTTGTTGTCATTTCGTTGTTACTGGACGGTCAGTTGTTGTCATTTTGTTATTACTGGAAGGTCAGCTGTTGGTATTTCGTTGTTACCTCATCAGTCGACGTGTGTACACGTACACATGTAAACACATTGCGTACACTGACACTGACATGTAGCTGAATTTTTGGACGGGGTGCTAGATATAGACCTACTTATATGTCAGAGATATAAAATTATCCCTAACCCTTCTATGTTTTTGAAAACGTGAAGAGCTGAACAATTTATGAATAGTATCATAACACACATATGCTGAATTTGTTCACTTTTGATAGGCCTAAAATTTCCACAAAAGTATTCATTGTGTCATATACACACCACACAATACAACATACATATTCGACACACTTGTATGACTCATCATAATACTAGACTGACACACCGACAACAAACATGCATGTTACGACACACTAACCATGTATGTGACACGCACATGTGACACTTGGTTTTATCCCTATTGTCAGACGGTGATAACCCGAAACACCTGTCTTAGACACCTGAACAATTATATGACACACCTGTCTGACACACCTGTCTGACACACCTGTCTAACACGCCTGTCTGACACACCTGTCTGACACACCTGTCTGACACACCTGTCTGACACACCTATCTGACACACCCGTCTGACACGCCTGTCTGACACACCTACACATGTATCTGACACACCTGTCTGACACACCTGTCTGACACACCTGTCTGACACACCTACACATATGTCTGACACACCTGTCTGACACACCTATTTAACCCACCTGTGTGACACACCTGTCTGACACACGTGTGATCACCACCCACCCAGTAACTTCACCCAGCGCCCATTAACTCCCTGCCCCGCCCTGTAAAGATGAGACGGACATACCATAATAGATCAGGCCGTTCTTTGAAGTTTAACGATGGTCAAGTCCATTTTAGTCAGTCATTTAAGTCAAAGTCGTTAAACTTCAAGTCATTGTCCTCTATGTTGAAAACAACATTGTATTTTAAATAACAGCAAAGAACTTTTTTTTAAATTTGTGTTTATCAAAGAATCGACAAAAATTGTGTTTATTGATTTTAATAAAATGTGTAGGGGATCGTGACTAGATCAATCACCTTCAACAGGTGCTGTAATGTCACAAAAGGTAGATGTATTATGTTTTATCCTACAACATGTAGGCCTACTTTTGGTTTATCACATGTCACATTATGGTGAGTGGTGGTGACACCATAAGTGGGCTGGTGGTGATACCATAAGTGGTTTGTGGTGACACCATAAGTGGGGGGGTGGTGACACCATAAGTGAGGTGGTGGTGACACCATAAGTGGGGTGGTAGTGACACCATAGGTGGGGTGGTGGTGACACCATAGGTGGGGTGGTGGTGACACCATAAGTGGGGTGGTGGTGATACCATAAATGGGGTGTTGGTGACACCATAAGTGGGTTGGTGGTGACACCATAAGTGGGGTGGTGGTGACACCATAGGTGGGGTGGTGGTGACACCATAAGTGGGGTGGTGGTGACACCATAGGTGGGTTGGTGGTGACACCATAGGTGGGGTGGTGATGACACCATAAGTGGGGTGGTGGTGATACCATAAATGGGGTGTTGGTGACACCATAAGTGGGTTGGTGGTGACACCATAAGTGGGGTGGTGGTGACACCATAAGTGGGTTGGTGGTGATACCATAATTGTCGTGGCTATGAGATCATTATTAAGCTTGTTTTAAAATTATTTTTACCTACTAAAGTTATCTTGTATTGTGGACGGAAGGATAAACATTTATCAGAACAAGTAACATCCCATTCCTAAACTTGTATAGCTTTAATATGTCGGTGTATTTTGTGTTTATTCGAAAAAACGGTTTCAAAATAGCAGTCTGTTTAACTTTAGAATCCCATCAATTTATTTTATAGTTTAGTGAAGTTAAAACGATGCTTAAAAAAGCAGGCTTTGTTTAGGAAATTAAATGACAGCTGGTGAAGTAGAGTGCTGTTGTCTAAATTACAAGCTGTAAAAATGTCAACACACATATTTTGAAACCCTAAAGTCTAACTGCCCACAGCTGGTAAAAGCTAACGTTAAATTTAACACAGGTGGTAAACCTTCAGTTAAACTGGTCAAGTCTAACTGCCCACAGGTGGTCAAACCTTCAGTTAAACTGGTCAAGTCTAACTGCCCACAGGTGGTCAAACCTTCAGTTAAACTGGTCAAGTCTAACTGCCCACAGGTGGTCAAACCTTCAGTTAAACTGGTCAAGTCTAACTGCCCACAGGTGGTCAAACCTTCAGTTAAACTGGTCAAGTCTAACTGCCCACAGGTGGTCAAACCTTCAGTTAAACTGGTCAAGTCTAACTGCCCACAGGTGGTCAAACCTTCAGTTAAACTGGTCAAGTCTAACTGCCCACAGGTGGTCAAACCTTCAGTTAAACTGGTCAAGTCTAACTGCCCACAGGTGGTCAAACCTTCAGTTAAACTGGTCAAGTCTAACTGCCCACAGGTGGTCAAACCTTCAGTTAAACTGGTCAAGTCTAACTGCCCACAGGTGGTCAAACCTTCAGTTAAACTGGTCAAGTCTAACTGCCCACAGGTGGTCAAACCTTCAGTTAAACTGGTCAAGTCTAACTGCCCACAGGTGGTCAAACCTTCAGTTAAACTGGTCAAGTCTAACTGCCCACAGGTGGTCAAACCTTCAGTTAAACTGGTCAAGTCTAACTGCCCACAGGTGGTCAAACCTTCAGTTAAACTGGTCAAGTCTAACTGCCCACAGGTGGTCAAACCTTCAGTTAAACTGGTCAAGTCTAACTGCCCACAGGTGGTCAAACCTTCAGTTAAACTGGTCAAGTCTAACTGCCCACAGGTGGTCAAACCTTCAGTTAAACTGGTCAAGTCTAACTGCCCACAGGTGGTCAAACCTTCAGTTAAACTGGTCAAGTCTAACTGCCCACAGGTGGTCAAACCTTCAGTTAAACTGGTCAAGTCTAACTGCCCACAGGTGGTCAAACCTTCAGTTAAACTGGTCAAGTCTAACTGCCCACAGGTGGTCAACCCTTAAGTCTAACTGCCCATACTTGATAAAACCTAACGCTAAATTCGCCACAGGTGGTAAACTTTCAGTTAAACTGGTAAAGTCTAACTGCCCTCAACTGGTCAAACCTAAATTCTAACTGCCCACAAGTGGCCCCTACACGCCTGTGTCACGTGCCATGACGTCACAACCAGGACTTAAACCCTTGCCCATAACAGATCAATATGACAGTGCCGTCTGATCACCTCACACGAAGATGATCCACCCCCACCCCCACCACCACCCCACCCCACCCTGCCTCCCCTCCCACGACACGCTCACGGCCTGTGCACGCATCTACCGCCTGTGACAGGTGCAAATACCCGCTGATTGCGTACACCTAGCCTGTGACAGGCGCGGCGAATCAGTGGCGATAACTCTGCCGGCAAGTTATCACGCCGTGCGGGATGTGGCTCGGAGTCCCCTCCCTTCTCCTGATTTAATTGGCTGGCAGAAATTACCGCACTGCCTTTCATGTCTATGTCTCCTTGTTTCATTTTACGTCGCACGTTGTTGTTTTTTTTTCTTCTTCTGTATTTCTGCCCGTCTTCTCTCTCGCCCTCGCTAAAGCTCGCAGCGTGCTGGCGTCTGCTCGTCCTTTTACCGCCTAATTAGCTTGTTTATTTTAAGTCTGTCTCGACTTTGTCGTTGTACTTCTGACACACACTACAAAAAAAAAAAAACTTTTTTTTTTTAAATAAAAAAAAATTACCTGACTAAAAAAAAAATTCTACTCACGATAAAGCAATCAGGCCGCTATTACAGTTCGAGTATTCAATCGATATTCGTTATTTTCTTCTCCGTCAATTGAGGGGGGGGGGGGAGTTAAAATGGAAGTTAGGAGTGAGTACACCCTGCACACAGTAACTGATAGATCAATAAAGTGTAGTTTTATCTGCCTTGTTCGATGGCAGACAAGACAACGATATATCAACCCCCCCCCCCCCCATCCCCACCCGCGCCCTTATAACTAAGTTGTTTATGAAACTCTTTATGTTAGATATTACTAATTTTAGATGGAATCATGTCGGGTTTTTATACAATTCATATTTTTAACAATTTGATTGGTTGATTACATAACGAAACAAAGACTTTTCTAAATCAATTTTTTTTATCAATAAATGAGGTATATTGGCAGATATTAAAAATATTAGAATTGATTTTAGACAAAAAAACATTTGACATGTAATTATACAATATTCTTTTTCCAATCTATAAATTGTATGTATTGGAGGATATTAAAATAATTTAAAATTAATTGTATACACTATAATTAACTACAATTCATTATTTAATTATACATGGAAATTGTCAATATGGTTAATTAGCTAGTGTTTACTAATCATCGCGTTGTAGACTTGAATATAATTACCTTTGATTAACATTGAAACCATAACATGTCCGTTTTCATATTGTGATTGTAAGTGTTGATCGCCTAATTAATTAATGAACCTGTTTCCCAATCAACAGGTCGTCTGCTCCCGTCGCCCCATGGACCCCAGGTGTAGGAGACGCACGTGCATCTCACGAGCGAGCTGATTGAGATGCTAGCAGTCTGCAGAAGGTGAGTACAGGTAATTACAGGGGCAGTCAAACTATAGGTGCTCACTCTGACAGGCGCTTTAGTGGCGCATGCAGTGGTGAGGATAGTTGGCACAGTGTCAACAGAGTGTTAACAAATGGTTGGTACAATGTCAAAAGAGTGTTAACAAATTGTTGGCACTATGTCAACATAGTGTTAACAAATTGTTGGCACAATGTCAAAAGAGTGTTAACAAATTGTTGGCACAATGTCAACAGTGAGTTATTATAATTTCAACAAATAGTCGGCCCTAATGTTAACAAATAGTTTTCACAAAGTTAACAAATAGTTGGCACAATGTCAACACAGAATTAACATAATTTTAACAAATAGTTTTCACAAAGTTAACAGATATATTGCACAAAGTCAACAGAAAAAAAGTTAACAAATAGATTGCACAAATTCAAGCAAAAGTTAATAATAGTTATCACAAAGTTAATTAGAAAGTTTACAGCAGAAATCAACAGGAAGTTAACAAGTAGTTGTCAAAAAGTCAATACAAAGTTAATAGTTGCCAAAAGTTAACATACAGTTAACAAATAGGTAGTAGAATGGGAATACAAACAAGCATAAATGTAGTACAGGTAGCAATATGCCAACAAAAAGATAAATCATGAAATGAAAACTGTACCAAACAAAAAGAATTTGGGGGGGGGGGGGGTGTAGTGAGGCTTTATAGTTTCTACTCAATACTCTTAGTCACCCGGTGCATTACAAATGTACATTAACTGCAATAAGTAATATCTATATCATTTACATAAATGTAACTTACTTAGGGCCCCTATCTTTAAAATAACATAAGGTGGGCGGGGGGAGGGGTTTGGATGGTTTACTTGCAATTATAACATAGTTGTGAAGTAAAAGCCAATAATTCCATGGAGTAATTGTTGTTTAATGTTGTGTGTGAAGAAACTAGTCACGGTACTATTCCATCCCCAACATTTTTAGTACCGAGTGCTTGAAGACCTACCCCCCACCCCCTCATCCCCCCCTACCCCCTTAGTTCAGCACGCGAGTTAGGCTCGCGCCGTCCGTGACAAATAGTTCAAAGATGGCTGTATATTGTGCCGGAGCGGTTTCTAATGACGCCTTTACGAGGGTGTGAAGGAGACAGTGATGCCTGCTGGGAGCACTCGTAACCACGATGATGGTGTGGGGGGGGGGGGGGGTGAGTAAGGAGGGTGATGTATGCAAGGAATGCTGGGAGTAAATGAGTATGTGTATGATCCGACGTGAGTCGGGTTGCCTGTGGGATGTATGCGTGTATGTTCGTGATATTATGTCTCCGGCCGTACCTTTATAGTGAAGGTTTTAATGCGTGGAATTTCTCAGCTGTGTCTCCTAGTTGCCAATAGATTTATTTACGCTGGTCTGGTACACTGTAGTGCTGTTGTTTTCTTAATACGGTGCTCACTTGAAAAATTAGCCGGGATAATTTTTTGTTATTTTTTTTTACTAAATTTTGTTTACTTGAAAGAAATATGATACAACCCCCACAAAGCCCACTTAATTTTGAGCGCGGTGCACCGCATGGAACATCACATTTGTTTTGCCTGCGTGAGTTAAAAAGCAATTTATGCGGTGGGGGCACAGCGCGTGAAGGCTGCTTTTTTTTTTAATGCAATGAAATCTGACGGGAAGAAAATAACAGGAGTCGGGGGGTGGGGGTGTAAACGTGTAGGGGGGGGGGTTGGGGTGTAAACGTGTAGGGGGGTCGGGGGTGTAAACGAGTAAGGGGGTCGGGGGTGGCAATAAGTATAGGGGTGTAATTTAAAAATTTAACAGCGTAGCGAAACAACCCCTGCGATTTGAAGCAGCTCCTTACAGCCTGTACGGTAAACCCGCGCTTCTGTTCAACTCATTATTTACTGATCTTTGACCCCACTATGGTCGCCCCCCTCCATTTCTTCACGCGGCGGGTTGTTCATCTCACCGATTCAATAACCCGTTTATTAGGGTGTTTTTTTTCTCTCGCGCCCCGTCTAGCGGCATACCGTTATTCTCGCAGGGGTTAAAAAAAAAATCTCCGCCACCTCCAACGATCTACCTCAGGTGAAGATCTAGCCGGCAAGTCGTTGGCCATGTTTGTCAATGTTTCTACAAATTTGATTGCACTCAAATAAGTAGGGTTAAGGCAGGGGAGGGAACTCGCATTAGTACTCGCTTCCTTCTACACCCCGTAAGACGGAGGAGAAAAATGGATGTTATTTCTGTTGGGCTGGGTTTCTAATTAAATCGTTCATAGATACTTACCCTACCCCGGGCCACCCCCCACCCCATTACCCCAGGGGTATTTTATTTTTAAGTTTTAAAACCAGAAAGGTAATATAACGGTGTATAACCTCACCGGTTGAAATTGATGGAGTTGAATTACACGGCCTGGGGGGAGGGGTGGGGGGGGGGGGGGGATGAGGGTCGCAAAGTAAAAAAAAAAACGAAGTCTTAAATTTAGGAAAATTTCAATTTTTTGGAGAGCAAAGTACATTTGGAAGTCTTCAAAAATATGCATACTTCTATACACATTTCATTGGCACTAGGTTACTCCTAACTCTAAATCCTAATCTCTACAACACTAATCCTAAGGACAAAAATACTGCTATTTGAGATTCTTAACAAAGCCAATTCTTAGACGTCAGATGACCCAAGAAGCCCAAAAACTGTTACACTATGTACCTCAATCACATGGTTTTATTTAATTGGTGTTTTAATTAAGTATTCCAATTAATTGGTAATGAGGCTAGAACTAGAACAAACTAGGCTTGCATTATTTTTCAAGCTTGTCTACAATGTACATGTAATAACTTTTTAAAAACTCCACCCCCACCACCTCCACCCCCACCACTTAGCCGAATGAATGTTGTTGCCGTTAGTTTGATAAGCTCCGGGTCAACTTTTCCACGCGGATGTATTTTTGACAGGGGGGGGGGGGGGAATCTCTCTCACGACAGCGTCCCCGTGGCCTTGAACTTGGGAATCGTGTAACAAAAGGCTGACCCTTCAGCAGAAATCAAGGCGATAAGCAGGCACTCGATTGAACTTAAAAAACTGTACAAAAATATCTGTTTGATTACTTTTTTTTGTAATATAAATCAGAACTAAAAATAATAGAACAGAGATATTTTTTAAAAATTTGCTATCCCTTGATGAAATGAACCGATACCCGCTACTGATGCAGTACTGGACAGAACCTAATACGTCCTCTATTTTTATACCCAAGATAGAATTCAATAGCTTGCTTTTTTACTTCCTTGTAGTCTAAACCTGATTTACTAGTTACTAGATCTAGTATTGCATAAATTCTTGATCAGCTACAGTGAAAGTTAAATTTGTTGTTTTTATTTGTACTTGAATACTAGCGTTTCTTTTTGATAACTTTAATACTTTACTTGAAACTGAAATAATTGAT